GTTTTTGCAGTGTTGATTACCATTCCATTGTTGTCGCACAGGTTTGCTAGTAGTTTAAGTGCACAAGTTAGGGCACGTTCCGTCCTCTCGTGAGCGTTTTTCTTAGGAACAAATACCATAGATTTCCTTAGGGGCGGAATACCATAGTACCAGATCATCTGAGAAAATAGGGGCGGAATACCATAGAACAAGATCATCTGCATAAAGTTTTCACGTAATACCCTAGAACAAGATCATCTGCATAAAGTAAGCACTCCACGCCCGTGACTGTCTGTACCAATTCGGCTATGTCAATGATGAGATCGATGAAGACATTGAAAAGAGTGCAGCTTGTGACAGCTCCCTGTCAACATTGAAAAGAGTGCAGGTTGTGACAGCTCCCTGTGGAAAAAAGAGTGCAGCTTGTGACAGCTCCCTGTGGAAGGCCTGTATGCAGCTTGTGACAGCTCCCTGTGGAAGGCCTGTTTGTAAGAAGGCCTGTTTGTAAAGGATTGGATTTTGATAGAGCATTTCCGTATCTGACTTTAATGATGGAGCATTTCCATATCTGACTTTACACGATCTTTGTTCCATTTCCATATCTGACTTTACATGATCTTTGTCCAATGATTTTTATCCAAGCTTAGCATCTTATGCTTAATACCAATCTTTGCCAATTTTAGAATTAGCTTCTCTATCGGTCATATGCTGATTTGAAGTCGACGAAAACAGCCGTAAGAAGAATTAGCTTCTCTTTCCATACTAAGTCATATGCTGACTGAGCCGTAAGGGTATTTCTTGCATCAATGTTGGGAGAAAGTGGCTACTTGTTGGTTCGTTGATCATTGTGACCTAAAAATAGTTCTTGCATCAAGGGCATCTTTGGTGTGTTGGGAGAGTAAGGGTATTTTTTGCATTAAGGGCATCTTTGATGTGTTGGAAGAAAGTGTTGCCTCAAGGGCATCTTTGATGTGTTGGGAGAAAGTGACTACTTGAGAGTGCAAGAATGGTGGGTTGCTTGGTCTCCGTTGGGAGAAAGTGGCTACTTGTTGGTTCGTTGATCATTGTGACCTAAAAATAGTTCTTGCATCAAGGGCATCTTTGGTGTGTTGGGAGAGTAAGGGTATTTTTTGCATTAAGGGCATCTTTGATGTGTTGGAAGAAAGTGTTTTGTTGATCTTTGTGGCCTAAAACCTGCTTGTTCACTCCACAGGATATTGTTGGTCTCAAGGAACCAGGTCAGCCTCCTGTTAACCATTCCTTCCATAAGTTAAGCCAGGTGTTCACACCTAAGAATATTGTTAGTCTCAAGGAACCAGGTGTGCCTCCTTAAACCATTCTTTCCATAAGTTTAGCCAGCACACTTGTGAGGAATTCCATAAGTTTAGCCAGCACGCTTGTGAGGGACATAGGCGTATAGTTGTCAAAGTTGTTAGGGTCTTTGCCCTTTTGAAGTACTGGTATTAC